CACCAGTCCCCTTCTTATTTAATATAAGAATAAATATAATTTCTCATTTTTCCAAGTGTACAGGTTGCAGAATCACATTGGTTATAATGAGAAATCATACCCCATTTGATTCAAATGTATGATATGTCAAGATCATTGTATTGTCATGAGCAAGTAATAAAAATTAAAAAAGAACAGAGAAGGTGAAAAAAGAATAAATATTGAAAATTAAAGTTAAGGTTTCAAAAGTTCCCATAGATCTACTAATTAGTACAATCTCATGAAATACAGGATTTGTATAATGAATTGTAACTAGGCAACATATTATATTGTATATAATATCCAAGACACAACTGGAAAAGCAATTGTGTACATAGTAGTTACCAATTCAATTAGATCTACTAAGAGCTGGATACAGTTCTATTTTTTCCAGAGAGGACAAGAGCCATGCGGTGATGGCCTGAACTTTGGCCTTTACCTTTGGGTTCTTTATGCTTTTCCTATGACATTCTTCATCTGTGTCCCAGAGTCCAGAGTCCTGCTCACAGAAGTACCCAGGATCACAGGAAAGGGCAAAGCTGAAGCTCCAAACTTCATATCTGGGGTACACATAGAATAAAATCTAAAGTCAGACAGAAGCATGTCACAAAACATAGGGGAGGGAGCTGGGAATGTAACTCAATGGCCAAGCACCTGCCTAGCATGCTCCAGGCCTTGAGTGGAGTCCCCTGTACCAGGAAATATTAAAATTAACTCAAAATTGTGTAATAATCCCAATTGTAACATATATCCCTGGGTCCTTAGACATATAAATAAATGATTAAATGAATGAATTAAGTCAATAAAATAGATGAATAAATAAATAGAGGAGAGGAGACAAACCTCCTTTACAGAAGAATTCCAAATATTTCCTGTAGATATTTTATGTTTAAGGAAGGGGAACATAAATCCTCACTGCTGAATGATTCCTGCCAAGGGATATAGTATGGAGACTGGGCAGTACATTTACAGGAAGAGACTGAAACTCTACCTAACTCAAGTAATCAATTGATCATGTTATGCTCGAATTCG